GCCAAAAAACCTTAGCGAATTAGAGCTTTTTTTGAAGGAGGAGTGGGAAAATATTCCAAATAGTACTCTAATTAATCTTGTAAACTCTATGCCACAGCGTTGTAGGGACGTTATTGAAAAAAATGGTGAACGAATATCATATTGATTTTTTTTTTAATAAAATCTATTGCTTCTTAGCTTTAAAATAACATATTGTACGCTTCGATTGATAAAGTGGTTGTGTAACTATCGTAATTTTAAAAATTGTCATTTTTTTTGCACACCACTTTATATTGAGAAATTTTCTGTATTCTTTTTTTGAAGATTATTATATAAATTGTCAACGATTTCTTCAATTCTATTGACTTTATTAGAAAATAATTCGACACAATTGTCAATTTCCTTACAATCGGGACATAGTATTCTTTTATTATCTTATCCTTAGTGAGATTGATCCTTCGAATATATGGTACCATACGTGTTTTTTTTCATAATTTTTTTTTGACATCGTGAAAAGAAGAAAAATTAAAGCTTTAATTATCGAAAGAAGCCATTTCATATCATTTAAATATCTCGGAAAACCATTTATGAAACATTTACTGTTACTTATTTAGTTTCATATCGTTATAAATTTTATAGAACTGAATTTTACTAAATTTTTTAATTTAATTTATAATTTTAATTTAATTTTTTTTTAACACAGAGTTGATAGCAATTACTTATATAATCTTTCCTATAAGTCATTTATGTAGCACAGTAAAATGGTTCTTACAAAGTAATAAAGTAATAGCATCGAAAATATCGTAAACGTAAAAATACATGCATTCACAAATTAAAATATTTATTCCTACATCAATTAAAAATTATTATTGTTGACCTTAACTATATTTGGAAAGGTTTGATTTTCAAAATTTTCAAATTTTCCGGTTCCAAATATAGACGACTTAAAAGCTTATGCTAGCGATCAACTTAATGGATAGTGGTTTTAATATAAAGGAAAAAAAAAAAATACCTACCCGATTCGACGCTGCGCCCCGACACCGCCTAAAATCAAAAAAGGCGCAGAAGGTGGTTTTATTTTAAAATACTTACCGATTCGGCGTTGCCCGATACCGTCTAAAAATCATTCTAATTCAGACGCTATATATTTTACAAGACTATTATTTCTATGGTAATACAGAAAACCAAACGAAAATAAAGAGAGAGCATCAAAAGTTGTGAACATTAAAGCTTTCTTTTATTTCTTTTTCTTAATAAATTGACCTATTAGGTCGAAATTTAGATTTAAACCATCACTATGACAAAATCAAATTTAAGAAAAATCCGAAAATTTCTTATCAGCATTAGGGAAGAATTTGGTGATGCGTAGTGCAAAATAAAGGAAAAGTATTAAACACACTGGAGTTCATGCTAAGATTTAATTGATGTGTCAAATTAATTTTATTATGATGTATTAGAAAGAAAGCTATCTATCAAAAGTGATGCGAAACTTTAATTGAAGCATTTACCAGCACGGTATATCGATTTCATAATCATTTAACTTTATAAATCTTTAACGTTGAAACAAACTTGCGAAAAGCAATACGCATATGGAGGTTTGTTATTAAAATCACGTTACGGATCATATGATTTACTAAGTTCGTAACTCAATTTTAATAGCAAACCTCCCATATCTTTCTGCTCGACTAACACGAACCAAATTCTAAGAGATTACGACGAATTTGGATACCGTAGGCAGATAATTGGAGTTATAAAATTAATAATCCTTTCTATTGTATTATTTGAAAATCATTACCTAATTCGTAAGGAAAATTATTAGGTTTTGTTTTCATTAGAATGGGTATTTATTGAATTCTTATTCTTGATATTTGTGAACTGTGGTTAACGATATTTTCAATTTTGTGTAATTTAATTCTGAACAATTGTTGGATGACAATGTGAATAGTAAAAAGAAAAAGAAAAGAAAAGAAATACTTATGAATTATTATTATCGTGCGGAATTAAAAATTTAGTTTAACGAAAAGTAAATTTTTTTGACGTGTAAACATCCCAGGCCATTCTAGTCGTTATATTTAGAACTCGTACTCTAAAATAAATTTATGTTGTGATATATATGTAGGAAGGTTAATATCCAAATCACAGTAATACAAAACATTCTGATTATATTTTCTGTCATGGATATCCGTCCCATGAACTTTATCAGATGTCAAATTAACTTTTATTTTGCAATAAGATAAAGAAATTAAACACTTAATTAGATTACCGGACCTTATACCAAAACGTTCGATTGGCTTGTGTACCGAGCATTTACATTTGGACTGTTGTAGCCCAACTTAATCATCATTTGAGTTTAAATATCAAAGGACAAATCGGTAAATTTATTTATTTTAGCTAAATGAAATGTCGCTGTACTTGCTCCTAAATTACTACATCGTTTGTTAATTAATACTAAAAAAAGAATAATATTTAACACAATTAAAATTTTTTTTTTTCTGGTTTGCATTTTCGAAATACTGATCCCGCAAACACTAGATTAGTGTTCCGAAACGATCGAGTCGACCCGGGACCTGGATGTTCAGGCGGTCTGATTTAAACAATATCAACATAAATAGATGCGATGAACTTTTTATTTTTGTTTTATGTTACGCGACTTTAATTTGTAACAAATAAATAATAAGTAAACCTATCGACGTTGCCGATATTACAACTTCTTCTAGAAAACGAAAAGCATTGCGGAGTGAAACAATTACAGGTAAAAAAAAAAATTATCGATTATTAAACATTAACTAATACATTTTTTTATAAAGCAACATGTGATTTAGTGGAACAAGTATTTTCTGGCGGAACCGATCTGATATCGACCAAAAAATGTGGTCTTAATGCTAATACAATTCGCCTATATGTGCTTGAAATTCTGGTGGAAAAAGATGTAAAAAAAAAAGGAATTAGGATTAATGCTCACAAAAAAAAATAATAAATTTTAAAAATAAAATAAACTTTATATAACACTTTTTTATTTATGGCATTAATATAAAATATTTATTAGCGAAAAAAATGCTGAAAAGCTTGTCACCGATTGCTTAACCTATGTAGAAGTTTATTGTTTTCTACTTTTTTGGAATTTAACCGACAAATTCAATTTACAGCTTTTTTTTTTTTTTTTGAAATGTCACTCTGCGAGTGACTCAGGCACAGTGATCGATGATTTTTAAAAAATCTTGCGCCCCTTTCTTTTTCTTTAGATTCCTCTTCGAAATCAGATGGTTTAAATGATTTCGTTGTTTTATTTTTATGTTAATCCAAAATTATTTTATATCTTATTAATTAAACTGTATTTAAAAGAAAAATTTTAGAAATATTTAATCAATAAAAATATGTAAATTACTTTGAAAAATAAAGAATTTTTTTTTTTTTTTGTTTGTTTAATAAAAAAAAATAAATTTAAAATGTAATAAAATAAATGTAATGATTTGTAGGCTGCGCCGAATTGGGTAGTATTTTAAAAATAAAGCCGCCTTTTGTGTCTTTTTCTTGATTTTTAGGTAGTGTCGAGGCGCAGCGTCGAATCGGGTAAGTACTTATTTATTAAACCACTGTCCATTAAGCTAGCATAAGCAACCTTTGAGATTTCGAATCGAGTCCAGGTTAAACAATAATCGGGTCGAGTCGAATCTGAGCCGAACAATGATCAGTTCGAGTCAAATTCGGGTTCTGTAATTATTTAATGGGTTCGAGTTCGAGTATTCCTTAAACTCGACCCGATCCGACCCTTACAGAGCACTACAATAGATTATTAGAGTTGAGTGGATTGATTTGTTTTCTTATGATATAATTGTACCTAACCCGATTAGCATACTCAATTGAAATAAAGTATTGCATAATAAATAAATATATAAAATAATTTTTGAAATTTGGATATCTTCGTTCATGTCACCCGGTCGGGTTCAATTTAACAAAAAAAAGTTTATAAATAAAAAGTTTATCATGTGACTATAAAGTGTAATTTTATTGGTAGATTAAAGCTTTATTATATTATCGTTATGTATAATTCCTTTCTTACAACTCATTAGTTTTATGCATCTTTCCAAGCAATACATTGTTATGAAATTATTTCTCCAATTAATGTATTTGATGGGCTTAACTTCACTTCAAAATCTGTTTCCACCAGTCAGATGATAAATATAGAATTGATATATTTTCCAAAAATATCTTTTATCTTTGTTTCTTTCTCAACCAATCCTTCAAAACTTTAGAATTATAACTTATTTTTTCCATGTATAATAGGCATTTTGACAGAGTTAAGATGATTTTGAAATAAAATGTAATTGTCATATGATTAGGCCGGAAAGAAAATTTTAACCGAAAAATCGAAGTTGCATGATTTAACCGACAAAAAACATGAAAATTTTTTATTAACTTATCTCACTTACGAATCACTTCAGTTCTATATCAAATTTGAATTAAAAAATTCTTATAAACATTCGATTATAACGCATGTGCTACCAATTACTATCTTGAAGGAAATTTAAACATAAAATTTTAAAAAATATTATAAATTAACGGAAGTAAAATTTAGAAGGTTGCACAAACATCTAAGTTTGGGAGCCGCAATTTTAAATTTATTCCCGAAAAATTTTCCTCTATTAAAAATCATGGATCGAATAATTATAAATATAACTTATTTTCGTTAAGTGATATCCAAAAATTATGAACAAATAATCGCTATGAATCAACCATATATACGTAAGATTAGTCTCATTAATGTTAAGGATAAAAAAGTTAGGAGGAAACCTCCAAAACTTTGCTCTCAATGTAAGGAGACCGATAGTTGTTTCAAATTATTTTCTAATAAAGTCAATAGAATTGAAGAAATTGTTGATAATTTATATAACAATCTTCAAAAAAAGAAGATTGAAAATTTCCCGATATATCAGGCAAAATTTATTCTTAATAAAGTTCCTTGCGAAATAGAATACGATTTGTCAAATTTCACTTTAGAAGAATTAGAAAAATTAGGCAATTTTACAATTCAAAATTTCATTGGAGATAATTATTCACATTCTACCTCTTTTAATCAAAATGAGAATAAAAAGTTTTCTCTCAATCATGTTCCTTGCGAATTAGATTTCACTTCAGAAATTAGTTAAAATTTGAATAATACATACCGACTTCTTACCTGCCCTAATGAAATGATGATTCCTATCGACTATAATTCCCATCTCATTTAACACTTTCGAATATTATGACTCCTTACGGCAAAATTGGCATTTTTAAGATATATTTATCGAATTAAGAACATACTTTAAGACTATATTACGCAAGTAATTTTTCGTGTAAACGTTAAGATTTTTGGCAAAATTTTTTGAATTTATTAAACCTTTATACATTATTGATCGGAACTTTTTTATCGTTTGATGATGAGAAAACTTGTATACACATATATCTAAAGACAATCCGCTTCTTAGATAATAATGATCATTTTTGGCAATGTTTCTTAACTTTTTTTATCATCTATTTTTTTAAAAAAAAAATAATAAGAAAATAAAATTTTTAGTCCCAAAAATTACTTAAAATTTACTTTTAAAATTTCTTAATATCGGTCCCCCTCCCGGTAAACTAAAATGATAAAAGAAAGAGATAATAATATAAATCTAATAGTCTTAAATTGGTGATGGTGAACTCACCAAAAAGGAAAAGAGTGACAATGCATTTATATCACTCTATTCGACTAAAATTCGATAACTTCGTGTCTAAATTTAATATCTAGAATTTTAAATTCAATCGAAAATCAATTTAAAAGCAACATTACTTTACAGAAACTTGGTTTTCTTAATACGCAGTAACTGCAAAGTGACTATATAGTAAATATATAGTAACTTAATCACAGCCTAATAGGTACTATGCAGTTACTGCATAGTAAGGAATAGTAAAGTTTCTGTAAAGTAATTTTGAAAGATTATTTTACATGAAATTTGAAATCTAAAAGTGTAAATCTTAATTTTTTTTCCGCTCCGAATTACGAATGAAAAATAATAATCCGATCAAGTATAGTTAGTTAAATTTTCCAAAAATTAAATTAAATTAATTGAGAAATTAAAATTTTGAGTTGTAATTGTTTTGACATAATGAGTAAATTTGCGCTGTATATTTAATAACTTTTCATTTTCTTTTTTTAAACTGGGAAGCTTCTACTAGTTCTTTATCTTTGTATATGTTGTGCGTCAGATGTCGATTTGCGTCAACTGAACAGTTGACATATATATGGTATCTTTGTTTCTGTAGAAAAAATTATCGATTGAAACTGATTATGATCGTCGAAGGACAATATTGTTTGCTCAGTTCTTTGGGTTTATTTATTATAAACAAAGCTGAAGGTATTCATTGCTGGGTAGTATGATGTAAAATTTATTTAATAAAAATTTTATCAAAGTCTGCTTCAACTTCGACGCTCTGCACTTTGAAAACTGTTTATTAAATAAAAGTTATATAAACTTTAGAAATATCTTAAACTAAATGCAATATAAAGGTTTTGATAGTATTAGCAATTACATTCTAAATTTATATGATACAGTATTAAATATAATGTGTAACAAATAAATTGTTTATCGCAAACAATTTTCTGTCCTTAAAATATTTATAAAACTGAAACACGGGATGTGACGCTTTGTGATAACCCCTAACCCTAACCAATCCTGGTTAACAATAATTGGGGTTACCAATGATGTCATGGAATCAATTTATAACAACTTGATTAGTAAATAATTTAATTAATATCTTCCCCATTTTTCTCGCTAAAGAATATTAAAATACAATATCTACAAAAGTCATAATTTCGTAAAAGTCATCTTTATACTCAGTAATTTTTTGCAGGCCAAGAAAAAATACTTCCAAACCTTTAGTTAATCTACAAAAATGAAAATAAAATGAAGATAAACATAATATTTTAATAATTATAACGATAAATGTTAATATATTGAAGATCTGCAGGTAAATAATTTTAACTTAAAACTTTTCATTATTGAATTTATTATATGAAACTTTTTTTTTTGCTATGTTTAATCCCAGTCATTGGAAACTCATTTTCATTTAATATTCATAATGCATAATTTTTATTGATCGATGCTTGTCTCAAGATTATAAAATATATCCAGCGTAAAATTATAAGGCCACGCACATTAGCATTTTCGGTTAACCCGGGGTTTAATAAAAGTAACGATGTGATTGGTTGGGAAATTAATTATTACACCGATCCTTTTTTCATGAAAATTTTTACTTTCAAATTAAAATAAATTAATTTCGATTACTGATTATTAAATACGCCATTCACTTATTATTGGAATACACACAAAGTTTGATTACTTTATTACACAAATTTTGATCACTTTATAATAAAGTAATCATATAATTTACAATTATGTTAGTTTTAGATTAATATTTAAATTATAACTTTGTGAAGAGGTACAAGGCGGAAGCTTAATTATAATATTGTTATTAATGCAAGATAAAGGATTTCGATTATTAGTACTAGATAAATGCTTTCGATTTTTGCCATCATTGAGGAATTAGTGGTTTAAAAGGTGCCGTTACAATTAAATGCAAATTCCGGCCGAAATCTTCATAAATTCTCTTGAAGATCGCTCTTGATAATTGCAGTTAGTCCCTTTGACGATCATTTGCCAAGATGCTAGTTTGTCAAGGTGCCAGTATGACAAATGGTCAAAATGCCAGGATGGCTTAATTAAAAATCTTTTATAAATACGAGCCGGAAATCTTAAAACAGCTCAATATCCCATGCTCGCCTTTAGCATATTTCTTTGAAAGACATTCCCTTTGCTATCTTCCCTTTACACCTTCGCTTTTAATTTTATAATTTCGCATTTTGTAACACAGTTTATTATTTTATTTTAATTTCCGATTTTATTAGTATTTTATTATACAATTTTTATGTAACAATTTCGTAATTGCGTATTTTTAATTAATTAGTTGGCATTTACTTAGTTTAATATATTGATGTAGCGAAAGTGTAGAGCGCCGACGTTGAGGCAACACTGATTAATTTGATCAATATTACTTCATTTTTATTCAATTATTCAATTAAAACCTTCTGCTTACATTTAAAATTGTTTATAAATACATAAACGAAAGAAATGAATACAACAATACTGTAAATCGTTTATCCGAAAAAAATTTTTTTCTCTTTTTTTTTTTTTGACTCAATTTCTAAAATTCCGAAACAAGTAAAGAAATAATTCGATAGCAGGATGATAACATCCATACAAAGTGTTTTTTTAATGTATAAAACCTGGAGATACTTGATTCAAATATAGAAAGTATTTCAGATGTTTCAGCCCCTAGGTTTTCCGAAATATTTAAACGAAATGAAATGGTCTTTTTTTCGATAATAATAAGCTTTAATTTTCCTTCTTTCATCATGTCAAACAAAAACTATAAAAAAAAAACAATTATGATACCATATGTTCGAAAGATCAATCTCACTGACGATAATAAAAGGACTAAAAGAAAACCTCCAAAGCTTTGCCCCGATTGTAACGAGTCCGATAATTTTAACAAATTATTTTCTAATAAATTCAATAGAATTGAAGAAATGGTTGCCAATATATATAATAATCTTCAAAAAAAGAAGACTGAAAATTTCTCAATATATAATGAAAAATTTAATCTTAACAATGTTCCTTGCGAAATAGAATACGATTTGAAAAATTTCACTTTACAAGAATTAGAAAAACTAGGAAAATTTACAATAAAAAATTCTAATGTTGACAAATATCCATCTTATACTTCCCCTATAAAAAACGAGAATGAAGAATTTACTATTGATAATGTTCCTAATTTGCCAAATTTTACTTTAGATGAATTAGAAGAATCAGCAACACAAGATTTCAATGACGATAATAATCATGAGAATGAAAATTTTATTCTCAACAATGTTCCTTATAATATCAATGATCAATATACTGTACAAGGGGGAAATCTAAATTTTTAAAATTTTTTTTATTGGTCCCACTTGACTGATCGCAGTCATGTGCTCAAAATTATAAAATTAATGAAAATAATGAAAATTTTTTCTTGCAATCTTGTTCCATGTGTATTAGATGATTTTACAGCTTTCATTTCAGAAAATTATACAACTCAAAATTTTAATAATAACGTCTTACCTCCCCTAACAAAAATGATAAAAAAGGACGATTCTCATTCTAACGGCAAAAAATTCCGAGCATTCTTATTTTATTCTAACTTTTTTCGATCTTAAATAATGTTATTTAATCTTTTAATTTGATTTTCGGAATCATCGTAATATTATTTCTTTTTCTTTTTATTTTTATTAATATTATTTTTTATTTGGCAAAATTGGCATATTTATTCTTTTTCTCGACACTATTTTGCTTATGTTTTTATATTATAGATTTTATTGATTTTTATGATACATTAAGAACAAAAAACAAATTATACTTTAAGTTCATCTATAAGACCACGCACATTAGCATTTTCGGTTCACATCACCCGGCCGGGTCTTTTAAATTTTATCCAAACAAGTTTTATATGTAAAATTTTTATCTCGTGATTTCGAAATATAATGCTGTTGTATTCAATACTTTCCAATACTTTCGTTTATGTATTTATATACAATATTTTAAATGTAATCAGAAGGTTTTTATTAATAAGCAATTAAATAATTATGAAGTAAATGTTACTCAATAAAAATAATTAATCAATGTTGCCTCAACATTGACGCTCATTAACTCAAACTAAAGCTAATCACTAAACGCTAATTAATTAAAACTACGCAAAATAATAATCGGAAAAATAAAAATAAACTAAAAAATATTAAAACGACGAAATTAAAATTATGAAGCTCGAAATTGACGAAAATTATGATATTTTTCGGGTGGTATTATATCCAATGTAAAAATACGAATTTTTATGGTATTAACACTTTATTGAATCCGTTCTCGTCATTTCTTGGTTTACTTGATTCTTTATATTTCTTTTCTTTGTATCTTCTCTTTAATTACTTCCATTCAATTAGTAATTATTATCACTGATCCTTTTTTATATATTATTACTTTTTTTCTCACTCTTTTTTTTTCCACATTTTTCAAAAAACTTATAAAGAAATTATGATTTTTACAAAAGCCTCTCAACTTCCAATACAGGAGGAAATCAATGAATTACAACAAGCATTTCTAGTTTCAAAATACTGAAAAAAATACCGCAAAGCGGCATTAAGTTATTAAAAGATTTAATAAAAGTTGTGATACATCTTAAGCTATAGAATTAATTGAATCTGCTAATAAACTTGAAGATTATCTTTGTCAATTGATAACTTGGTTAAAAAAAGAAGATGATTCTAAATCTGTACATAATTGTTATAGTATACTAAATAGATATCTTAAAGAGCATGATATTCTTTAACCAATAAAAATTTGGAATTGTTACAAGTTTTCTTATGCTTTTCGTATACTTGATGAAAAAATAAGAATTTTATAAGATAAAGGATTGAGTAATCCTAAAATTCTGATGGTTTATTTGAAAAAGAAATTAAAAAAATACTTAATAATCATATATAGATGTTAATATCAGTGAATCACTTACTCAGCAAGTTTTTTAAGACTATACTTACTATGTAGTTTATGTAGTAGTGATACATATTAAATTTGTAGAAAAATATTATATATTGTCAAGAAGGAAAATAATATTTCATAAAGAAAAAATTAATCAAGGTGAAGCTTTTTATAGAAATAAATATAGAAAAAACAAATTTACGACATATGTCTATATCTATAGATATATTTAATAATCAATATATATATCAGTTATAGATATTCTTTTATTTATCAAAATTACCTAATTCTACTATATCACAAAATTTTTTATTTCATAAAACTTGTAAAAGTCAAAAAAGATAAATATTTTATATTAATAATTAATATTTATTTTTTAAATTATTACCTAATTTTATTTTCTAAGATTTTTAAAAAAGGTCATTAGTTTAAAAATAATCCTATAGTTATGTAAAATTTAAAAAAATAATGAAAATCATCTCAAATACTGGAATTAATCTTAATAACAAGCAATTAATTACAAATCATTCTTGACATCATAATGTAATACAGCTTTTAAAAAATAATGAATTTTCTGATTCTGACCCTCAATCATTTTCTGAACATCGATTTCATGAGAGTTTAGCTGATTATTGTAAAACTGGTGAAGATTAGCACATTTTAAAAATATAATTATTAATTCCTTTTATATCACAAGAATCAGTTTTTGAAGAATATGAATTTGATGATTATTTTAAGATTTAAATTTAAATTTTAATGAAATTAGTATAGTAAAATTTTTATTTTATTAATCTCTTTTATTTATTATATAGTAAATTTATTTACTCAAAAAAAATATTTTATAGATTCAAATAATGATTCAGTTCAATCAAGTTTGCCTATATCTACTGTTCAAGAAATCCAAATTCCTATAACTCCAACTCAGGCTCAAGTTTCTGCAACACAAAAAATTCAAAATTCAAGTCAATATATCAAGGAAAGTAAAGACTTCAGTAACAGTATCTTTAAATATTTTATTAAAACAAGGTCATGAGGTAAGTAAAAATATCAAATTGAAAAATATTCCTTTGTTGTAAATGAAGCATCATATTGAAAAAGGTTCGATAATGTACGCGATTTATATTTCATATCACCATATACATTTTTTAAAAATCCATGAATATATTTAATCAATTATAACATGTAAATCTATAAGTTTAATTTATTTGAATAATTTATCAACCGTTTTTACATTCATGGTCTTTTATGTTGATAATTATTATTAAGATGAGTGGCTTCACTGTACCAAGCATATAAAATTACGATATTGGACTTATAAATCAATTACTTTAAAAATTTTCATTTCTATAACAATTTGAATAAAAGAATAACAAATAAATTTATAAATAACCTTTTTTTTGACAAATAATACATTTTGAAACCTTCTCGGCAAATGACGATATCTCGGAAATTAAATAATTTGAAAGAAAATCTCTTTCTAAAATTGGAAATCATAGCGCCAATACTGATTAATTGATATTTTAAATAAATTATTCATCACAATTGCTTCATTTATAATTAAATCCTTCTGCTTACAAATACAAATTGTTTATATAAAAATATGGAAATCATCACGAAAACCATGATAATAGTGAAAATTTTTTTCCAATTAAATTTTTCTTTTGAAATGAAAAAGTTACCGGATGATGAGAAGTGTATCCTACTTATTCGTCATAATTTGAAAAAAGGTTGTTTGATCTTGAAATAAGGTGTATACTTTTGAAATGTATAAAACAAATTCACTAGAGATGGTCTTTCAAAAACGCTGCTTTTGCCGTGGGAAAATTCCTCCATGTTCGCCATTTCATTTTTGCTTTTGTTTCAAAGAGGAAATCCTCGTAAGATTCTCTTTGATTTCATGGTGCTTTGCTGAGGAAGTAAAAAATAACGATTATATAGCGAGAATTGTAATCTTAGCATCTCAGATAATTGTGTTATAAAAGAACAAATGATTTATCACTCTTTCTTTAATAAAGCGGTTAAATCTTCCGAGTAGAGTCTTGACTCGTATTCGTGTTATTCGAGTTAAATTCAAAATTTTATAGACTCGAATCTTGATTCGAGGTATATTAATTCGAATCTAGGTTCATGCTTGGTCGAGTTAACTACCCGAATTCTTACTCGAGCTAACTAAATAGACTTCGACATTTTATTAAGTTATTATACAATTATTTATTAAATTCTAGCCTGATTTAGTAGGTGAAATGTCATTTTAAATAAGAAATATGTCTTTTTGATAGTATTTTTCCACCAGAAGATACATAACCGATGTTCATTCTTGTCGAAAATTAATAAAATTTACTGAAATTCCTGTAAATTCAAGCAATTCATGTGTTAGTTTACATTAATAAAATCGTTACGGTATTTTGATCATTAATTAGTATAAATCATAAATTCATTGTTAATGTAAAATTTAAGGTAACGCATCGTATAGATTACAAAAAGTATATATATATATTTTTTTTTAAATGGTATTCATGAAAATTTGCGCTAAAATTCGTATTACAATTATTATATAATACATCAAAATTCATGATGAATAATTGCGCCATACTTTCAAAGAAAATCTTATTTTGATTCCAATACCGCTTCAATGCATAATTTAATAAATATAATATATTGATTACAAAATATAAAATAAAATTTCATTAATTATTTTATTTTATGTTATTTTATTTATTATTTTCGCTAATAAATGCTATTGTCGATAAATTTCCAAATTAGGCGATAGCCCGTCTCTAACAATTGAACTCGAGCTAATACTCGATACACAGTATTCGAATGATAACTCGAGTCAGATGCTCGAATCCTAAACTCGAATTCTGACTAGAATTCTGACTCGGGTACTCTTCGAGTCAATAAAATTCTTGACTCTACTTGACTCGAGTTAATTTTTTTTTTGACTCGAGTCCAATGACTACTTCCGAGGATGTTTTTGTTATTAGAAATGATAGAATTATCAAAGTGATACCACAAGAAATATCATTCCACCACTTGATTTATCCTCGATGCTTCTACGACACCAACGGATTGTATGATTCTACTGGCGTTTTAGACTTTGATACGAATGAAATGATTTTTATAATTCTGAACCTTGGGTACATGACAGACATAGTATTTCAGTTTATCTTGATGATAATAAATCCATCCAATTGATTATTGGAGAACCCACTGTTCAGGTATGGTATAAATGATGTGCCCTTCCACACACTCTGATTATATTTGGACAATTGATTTTATAGACGAAAGCAGAATCAGTCTTTGGAAGTTGATCATAGGGAATTTTCTTTAACGTTGCAAATTCCAAGAATTTTTTCTTGGAAAAGAGAAATTAAAGAAATCGACCTTGAGGTTGCCATCCGACGTACAAAGGGAGATTATCGTAAAGATACAGTCATAGTTAACAATTGGAATTTTATTTTCTGTTAATGAAATATTTTTTGGCGCTAATGAGCTTTATTTTTAAAAATGTAATATTCTTTACGCCTTAACGTTAAATGTAAATATGGGACTTAACAAGAAAAAATGAACATAAACAATAGCAGAAAAATATTTCTAAGGAAAACAAAGGTAAGGTGTTTAAAAAAAAATATCACGGCAAGAGGAAATAAAACTTTTCTCTTTTTATTAAAAAACAAATAATGATAATGATAATGATAATGAAGATTTAAAGATAATGAGCTTATAATTCAACGATGGCTTGCTCCTCACTTATGAATCAAGTTTATTTCCACTCCCAAATTTCACTAGCCCTGTTCAAAATTGATCGGTTGCATTTTTAGGTCGATTTGTGTTTACAAAATTTATCCAATAAAATTTCTTTATTTTAGATCGCGTATTGAACTGCTTTATATTTTACTTTTTATATATTTCTTTTAAATGTTGCATAAACGCAAAGAATTACAGCAAGTTATAACCCATTAAAATATTATTTGGATTAGTTGTCATTTCAAAGCTGGACTTTTGACTTTGTAGAAGTAAAGCAGGTATGGTTGCGGGGCAAAACCCTAAACCCATTTTGGCAAAAGTCGAAACTTTTCAGAAATAGTTTCGACAGTTTCGACGGGTTTCGATGGTTTCGATGGGTCTCGAAAGTTTCGACAGTTTTCGATAACAACTTTGCGAATTCTTAAAAAGACGTGAATATATACAATCTCACATAGACTAATGCATAGATCATTATATGGGATGATTCTCCGACATTTTAATCTATCAAAAATTATAATGTTGATTTAGTTAAAAAAATTCCAAATAATGAAATTTTTTTTTTTTTAATGCTTAGCATGGGGCTAACCGCAATATAAAAATATGGGTGTCATTTTTATTTTATTTTTTAAAGAAAAATAAATAAAATTAAAAATATTCCTTATAAACAATATTTTAATACAAAATATTCAAAATCAAAAATTTTCACATATGTAACATTATTATTTTAAGTATTTACCCAATTCCCGGTCCATTTATCGAGAACCAATATCAACTTATTGAAGACATATCATTATTTTGTAGAGAATGTCAAAAGAAATGGTGATATTTGGGAATTTTTTTTGGGACATCAAGTGATAAGACGAGAAAGGTTTGAATAGGTAGAATGGATATATTAAAAAAGATTTATTCAACAAATGAGAAAGAGAGTAATTTTTATTAATCGATCGTCCATGAATGATGGATTAAATGAATATGGTTGTTCACCAAGAGGGATATCATTTAATAAAAACTATGCTTCGTAGGAATACATAAAAAAATTTTTTATACGTATAGTTATGACTCCGTCATTGTTAAATTTTGATATGGTCTAAAAACTTTGTACTGATGATATTGAGAGAATTCAAAGAATTCATGATAACACCAAAATCGATTAATCATCTTCCTATTGGTGGATTCCGTCAAAAAATTTGATGATTTGACAAATATTATACACGACGAAGAAAAGAAATCGCTAAAACTCCTTTTGATGAACCGACCACTCCCGACAAGCTGATCCGTTAACACCAATAGAAGTATTATGGAAAACATTTCTAATTAAACCCAACTCGCAAAAAACAAAATAAATTTTTAAAGTATTTTAATAATGCCATTGTCGAAACTTTTGCCCCCGTCGAAACTTCCGCAATTTTGCCTTTAATAAAAAAATTTGGCAAAACGTTTCGATGGGTTTCGATTTCGATGCCTGTCGAAACCTCGGGGTTTTGCCCGGCAACCTTAAAAGCAGGTATAGAATTTGGTGCTAAATCCAAAGGTCTTGGTGTTAATTTCTTTGCACTAAAGATGCTGGTTCTAACGGTTTTTGTTCTAGAGGTTTATACACCTTTGAAGTTTGTTTAACTGTTTTAAGGCTTTGAACGTTTTGAATTTGCTGAGAAGACATGTTTAAAAAACGCGTAAAAAAAGATATATTCGAAAGTATATGAAAAGACAACTCCTCAAAATCATTTATTTTTTTTTTGATTGGTTATTGTTCGCGTTCGATCTAAAAGCTCAAAAAATATTTAGGCCTGAAATCGGTCGTGTAGCCCTTTAAACTCAAATCATTATTTTGGTCGTAATTAAGACAGGAGAAAAATTGAACCCGTTCTTGAGAATGATGACAATGCGGAAATTTATAATAATCCATCAATGGCCGTTATAATTGATTTAAGTGGAACGAAGGCAAGAAATTTATGGTGATAAACTTCATACTATATGTGCTTTTAACAGATGAAAAGCTGGTGGTCATGTGATTTGAAATGTTATTGGTAAGTGGAATTTATGACTTTACCTATTTGCGATCTAGACTAATTCAGTAATTCCAATAATCAGTTATTATGATACTATAATTAATATCCTAGCAACATTCCTGGTTTTTATCTTATTATTGGTCCTCAAATTGGTCATGTGATGTAAGCGGGATTTAAAATATTAAAATATTACTTTGTTTATCATACAGAAATAAGAAAGTAATAAAAAATTATAGGGGTGCCTTTAACTTGCAATCAATCAAATTGCAATCAAAAGTATGTTTTGCCTAATGATACAGAAATCATCATGCCTGGAAAATCCTCCTGCAAAATTTTACGATAGTGTAATCCCGGATGGTGATCCTGTACCGGAATTAATATCAAATATTGAAGCGGTCTTTTAATGACAAGTGGACTACGATTTTGTAGAACATGTTGATCGCAATCATGACGTAAAGATTGTAACCTTTTTTTTTTTAATAAGCCGGCTCAATTTTTAATGGCGCTTATAATGACGCGAAAAGGTTAGTGAAAATGCTGTATTGAAATACCGAGCGGAATTGATCGCTGATTAATTGAAAACCCATTTGGTAACTAATGAGGAAATCCACAATGTATTTATTGCTCGTATTACAATGAAGAATGGTTAGAGAAATTTCTTGTCTGAAATTGAAGTCAATTTTGATTATGATGATGATGATGGAGTAATTCTCAATAACTTACGGATCCAAATTTGATATTTCCATTATCATTATATTGGTTTGTTGATGAGGATGAAAATGTTAAGACTTCATTAAAGATTGAGCATTTTAATGATTATGTACCCAAAGATGTCGTTAAGATGAACTTATCCTAAAAACCTTTCATTGAGAATTATACGCATAATATTAATACCATATTAAAATATGAACGGATCATACGTAAACATGAATGCAAGAAAGAGAAAAACGCTTCAAGAAAGATTTTCTGAGAAGTTAGATTCGATTAACTTCATTATTACAAAATCAGAAATGATTATTTCATTTATTAAAACTGATTATAAGTATACCAGTGTCTGGAATAACAGACGTCTATAACAAACAATGTGATACTTAATTGACATAAAAACAACACAATGGCTTTGTGTAACCTATTGCATAATATTTTTGAACGATGATCCCAGTCTTCCAAAATAAGTCCACAACAAATCAATTTCTGCAAATAGTTGTTAACAAATTAACAAATTAATTTAAACACAAAGGTGTTTTGAAAATAAGGGTGCAATTTCAACGACGTGACGTAATACGTAATATAAGTTGTAACCCATTAAGTTAATTCCAACATACCAAAGAAAGAAAGATGGAACCAAAAAAGGATGTATATGAAATACTGTTAACATAATAATAAATACTCGGTTTTTTAATTTAATTTACAACTTATAATACTAAGAGTTGTTCAGTACATATGGATTAAAATCACATATGATTTATATGGTTTGAACATTTGTTTTTCTTTGGGAACTTAGTACTTTGTGTGACGATACATTATTTTATGATAGAAAACGAATTGTCAAAATTAGGGAGTGGAGTGAAAAAAGAAAAATTTTAGATATGAAGAAATTAACGTTAATGGTTATTGGTGATACAATTTGTAACAACAACATGAAACTTTTAGTAAATTAGGAATTTTATAGAGATTTAGGAATAAAATAACAAATAATAAGTTTGTGCCTAATAAATAATAAAATTTTGTTTTTCTCCTAGCTCAAAATTAAAATATACAGTATTTATTTATTCCTTTATTTCTTTATGTACTTTGGTATTGTTTTTTTTGTTTTGTTTGTTAATATTTGCCAAAATTTCTCGTTTTAGTCTCTGTGCAATTCCAAACAAGTGTATCTATAAAGATTTATTTCGAAAAAAAAAAAAATAAAAATTTAAATCTATTTGGAAATGACAAAATAATTTCTTACTCACACTTACCGCAGATAAAATCACCAAAAAAATTAAGAAGGATTTTGTCCAAAGGAAAACATTTTCTTTATGATTACAATGATCCGAGGAAGCCATCTTTATACATTGTTCAATTGATACATGTTTACTTATAAACATGTATATCGCTGTTGTTATGGTTATGATTAAATAGATTATCACGATGCCAATTAAACAATTTACGTATATGGTTACTGCTCCTATTGATCTCTTTAATAAAAGAAACTTGTTAGGGATGTTAATAAAAAAAAAAAATTTGTTAGAATGATAAGTACTTACGAAACTTGTTCCAATAATTCCAAATATTATTACAATTGAAACAATTAATAATAAAGTTCCAAAAATGATTGCAAGTGTATGTGGCATTTTAATTGCAATATCTGTTCCTCCCCAAAAATTTTTAAGTCGTGGATTCTTTAAAGAATAAAAAAAGACCCGAATTATAGTAAGTAAAGCATACCGTCCGATTTTACAAGAAATAATGTTGATCCAAATGTCGAAATCATCTAGTAAAATCATGTTAATTTTAAAGGGATGCAAATATCAACATGGAAAAAACAAATATTTTTCTTCTTTTGATTTTTTTTATTTACCAAATTTAAGATCGAAAAAAATATAGTAGCGTGCCAATTCGGGAGACTGGTTCAAATAAAAAATGTAAAATATAAAAAGGGAAAAGATAAAAAGGAGGAGGGAATGTCTAAACATACCAACAACAACATCCACACATATTGAATATGTTTTTGAAAACTCGAAAAACCAATAATACGTTAATCCTCGTATTTTCTTTTTTTTAATTATCATCCAAGTTCTGAAAAATCAAAAGGAAAAAAAAATTTTATTACACTCTTAAATTTTCGACACGCATGAACCATGTTCAGGTTTATATGATTTGTAAACAAGGCAAGATTTAGTTTTTTTTTTAAAAAAAAAAAAAGTGATTTTAAGCCTTAATCATGATATATTAAAAGGCACTAGTGATTTGGCTTTGATTTTTGTACCCTGACGGCCATGAAAATTGGGCTTCGCGATCTTCGTATGACAAAATGCATCCCGAAAATAAAGCAGGTTTGTTTTTTTTTGATTTGTTTGATGTTATAAAGAAACAATAATATTACATAATCATTTAATTTTAAGTGCATGACAAATCTATGACATAAGAGATTCCTTCTTCTTTTAATAAGGAAATAAGGAAATAACAAAGAAAAAAAAAACTCTTCGTTTTGTCGCTATAGGAACTATAGAAAGTTTTCACCAGATTAAACGTTTTGTCATGACATATTTTTTTACTAAAGTGTCTAATCTAATTTCTACGAGAAAAAAAGAAATATTATTCATATCCGCAGAAATCTAACAAGTTTCAACACAAAAAAATTCGCTTTGTAAAATGCGTGTATTAGTAAAATTTTCCTTATTATAATAAATTACATAGGTTTATAAATTGCATATTAAATATTCTATTTAATTAAAATAAGTAACTTTTCAACATTTCTTCGCGTATATTCTAATAAATAAGATCAAGAAATTAGAAAATTATTATTATTATTTACCAATGACGATTTAAGTTATTTACCTGTGAGAAATACAAGATGTTTTGTAATCGTTTATTTCTTGTAACATTATGATATACATTTCGTCAAATTCTTTGATGCAAATTCCCATATATTCGCTTAACGCGGATTTATGGGATTTTAACGGTTGTAGCAATACATCACATAACTATATCGAAGTAAACAAAAAAAAAAAAACGGTTAAATTCCAAAATTTCATCAAAGAATGAGGATTTTTCTTCTCACTTACCAATTCACCTATCCTTCCACCGTTGGCGCCCAATAAAGTGTGTTTATCTTTTATGACAATGGATTGAATTCGTTGGGTAGAAATCAACATATTGTATAATTGTTCCTCATCAATTCTACTACATTCACGCCCATTATTTGTGTATGAATCATAAGCTTGAGTCAAGCGAGAAGTGTATGGACCAGAATTATACAAACGTAAATCAAATATCATAAATTCAACCCATCCGCACGGTTTCAATACCCTAATCATGTTTTTAATCAAATTGGATTGTTCATTCAAACTTGTAATTAATTGTGGGAGAAAGAATCGTTGACATATAAAATCGAACGTTTCATCAGGGAAAGGAATTATCGATGAAGCATGCGTTCGTAATACGGTTGCATTCAATGGTTCATTATTATTATTACTTTTATCGTCGCAAGCTGCGAAGTTATTTAATCCTATGAAGGTGGATAATGGATAATTATTTGCCATGTCGAATGTCCATATTTCAGACGCTAATCCAACCTCCAATACTTTCATGCTACCAGCTTGAAGTTGTTCCGTTATGGGCGTAGAAAAATTATTTTTCCAGAGGTATTTAAATAAATGATGTTGCATTTCTAAAATGTATATGCAAGGATTACGAAAGGGACAGCTTGATATTGAAGGATTTCCTTTATGTTCAAGGATTTTTGGATGTTCATAATTGATAAGTGATTCATGTGGATAATTATCAAACTGTATCATTTAAAAAAAATTTTTTTAAAATAATAATAATAATAATAATAATAATAAATGAAAAAAAAAAAAAAAAAAAATTTTTTTTTTTGAAATTACTTTTGGAATTCATATCCTCATCTCATTTAAATAAATCTTTTCAATAATCTCAAATATACGTATGTATTTACTTAATTAATAAAGAGAATAATAGAGAAAACTGATTGTTGTAGATATAACATAAATCATTGGTCTCGATTTTATGATTATACATTCATTTTCTGAATTTGGATTATTATTAATATTATTATTATTTGCATATTTAATAAGGAAATATTCGCGTATCTAAAATTAATTTTTTTTAGAAAAAAAAAGAAATTTCATAAATGACAGAAAATATGCAAAAAAATATTTTGTTTATCATAATTTTCGTGATTGGTGGTTTTAGGCTTGTTTATCAACAAAGGTTGGTAAAAAGGTATTAAACGAATCATTTTAAATAAACAAAGAAGATCTGAAATAATATACAGAAAAATTTGTCAAAGATCGGCGATTCTTTTTATTTTTTTTATTTTTCATTTAACTTCCAAAAATTGTTACACCAACAAAAAAAAAAAGCCTTTTTTATTCCGTGAATTAATTAACCAAAAACGTTTTCCTTTAATATATTTTTAGAAAATTATTTACTAAAATTGTATTAAATTATTTTACGCAGATTTTTTAATTTGTATATAAAATGAAGTCCCTGCCGATTAAAAAAAAAATGAACAACTCCTTGTATATTAATTTGACAACGTTACAAAATGGACATTAATAATGAACAAAGAACATCTCATTTGGATGCCCAGGGTTGTTTGGCTCAAGATATTCGTTGTAATATTCGCACGAGGTAAACAAATTTTTCTGTGGGCAATCCAAATATCTTTTTTTTTTTTTTTTTTTTTTTTTTTTTTATGATTAAAATATATATAAATATATATATATATTTTAGAGGTTATCTTCCTATTGAAAATTATGGACTAATCGGAAATTTAAGAACCGTTGCTTTGTGTGGAACAGATGGTTCGATCGATTTCTTTTGCTATCCAAAATTCGATAGTCCTTCTGTCTTTGCAAGAATGTTAGATAACGACAAGGTGAATTCACTAAAGATAAAAAAAATAATTTTCAATTCTATTTCATATATTATTTTTATATATTATACAACTTTATCAAATGTCCCTTAGGGAGGTAAGTGTCTTATCATCACATGCTACCACGTGACTCCCGCTCATTCTCAGATTCTTTATAGGACACTTCTCGATTGCACCAACAATTCATACTAGTAACAAGCAACAATACCTTCCGGGATCTAATATCTTATCTACAAGATTCTTACATGATGAAGGAGTGAGCGAAATTACTGATTACATGCATATTCCTGACAGTTCCTCACATTCCATTTCACAAAAACCCGTCCTTCCATGGCTCATTCGAAATGTTAGCGTGATTCGCGGTGAAGTTGACTTTCAATTTGAACTGTTTCCGGCATTTAATTACGCATTGGATGAACATACAACCGAAATCGAAGAATATAAAGTAACTGAAAATAAATTATCAAAATATCTAAGAGATGATGTAGCGTCATATGTTGGACATCAAAGAGCTATATTTCGTTCCAATACACTTTGTATGGATTTACGCTATGTCGTCTTAAATGGCGAACTAGATCCTCCAGTCATTGAATTTAAATTAGCAAAAAATAATGTAATGAAAGGTCCCGGTATCATTTTTCAATTCACTTTAAAAGAAACTCAAACTGTTACTTTTATTTTAAGAGAATTTTCAATTACTAAAGAAATTGATAAGTTGGATCCTCCATTAAGTGCTGGCCTAATGAAAAATTTATTTAGACAAACCTTACAATTTTGGCAAGATTGGATTGCTCAATCTTGTTATAAAGGAAGATGGAGAGAAAACGTTCATCGCAGTGCTTTAGCCTTGAAATTAATGACTTATGAGCCGGTAATTAAGTTTACGATTTAAAAATTGAAATAAATATTTTAATATTTTATTTATCATTTTATTAACATTTAGACTGGAGCTGTTGTCGCATCCCCTACTTTTGGACTTCCTGAAGGTAAAGAAATCTTTTTTTTAAAAAAAAAAAAAATTTAAGGAATTGATCTTGTTTCATTTATATTTGTTTCCTTACAGAGATAGGCGGACCTAGAAATTGGGATTATCGATTCACTTGGGTTAGAGATTCCGCATTCACCGTTTACGCACTTATGAGACTTGGTATGACTCAAGAAGCCAAGCATTATATGGACTTCATGGAAGCAAGATGCCAGGATTTGGTGAGATTGGCTGAATTATTTTACAAGCGTAATTATCTTGTTGATTTTCTAACAAGATTTCACGCATCTCAATAGAATCCTGATGGATCATTAAATATCATGTATAGTATAGATGGGGAAAAGAAATTAACAGAAGTGGAATTGACTCATTTAGATGGATATCGTGGATCCAAACCCGTTCGTATTGGAAATGGAGCGTATGATCATATTCAATTAGATATTTACGGAGAATTATTGGATGCGATGTATTTGTATAATAAATTCGGTAGTCCAATCTCTTACGATATGTGGGTAAACATACGTAAATTAGTAAATTATGTGTGTGATAATTGGAATAGGGAAGATATGAGTATTTGGGAGGTTAGAGGAAAAATGCAAAACTTTACTTATTCTAAAATTATGTGTTGGGTTGCCGTTGATAGAGGCACGTTCTTTATTATATTAATTTTGAAAATTTTTTTTTTTTTTTTTTGCAATACTATGGTCTCTTTTTATTAACTTGATTTGAATCTTTTAACAGGGTTAAGATTATCGGAGAAGAGAGTATTGCCATGTCCTGATAGAAATAAATGGACGCAAATACGTGATACTATTTATGAAGAAATTATGTTAAAAGCTTGGAATCCTGAGCGTAAAATCTTTGCTCAATCTTATGAATCTTTGGATGCTTTGGACAGTTCCGTTTTAATTATGCCTTTGGTATTTTTTATAAGCCCTACCGATCCAAGATTTTTAAGTACCATGGAACAGATTTTATTACCTCCGGAAAAAGGTATGTGATACGACAATGATGAACGAGGGATGTATTAACATTAATCATTGATTTGTTTTTTATTAGGAGGTTTGTTGACGAATAATCTTGTATTCCGGTATAATCATCTTACAACCGATGATGGTACGTCACTACTTTTGATAATCTAATTTTGTTTTATTTTGCCACGAGATAATAAATTTTTACTCATTGTTAGGATTAGGTGGGATGGAAGGATCATTTTCAATGTGTACATTTTGGTTAATTGAAGCGTTAACAAGAGCAGGAAAATATGATAAAAAACTTTTAGAAAAAGCAGAATTTATATTTGAGCAAATGATTAGTTATGGTAATCATGTAGAACTATTTTCCGAAGAAATTGCCAGATCTGGTGAATTGTTGGGTAATTTTCCTCAAGCTTTTACTCACATTGCCTTTATCAGTGGTAAATTTTTTTTTTTTATTCCTGGTATTTTAATTTGATATTATGAAATGCTCACGATTATTTTTTCTTAAAAAAAAAAAAAAAAAAATTATATAGCCGCGTTTAATTTGGATCGCGTTTTGATGTAAATTATGATTGCTATAAAAAATTTATTAAAAAAGAGTGTTTATATTATATGGTCATTTGCTATAAAAATAGAGTTAGTCTATGATCTAAAAAATTTTAATAGCAAACCACCCATATTTTATTTATTTATTTATTAATGTAACTAGTTTTGTAAAAGAACTGTTTTAAGATAAGTTTTTTCAAAGAAATAAATCCAAACTAAATAGCCGGCTTTTTTCACGTTTTTGAAATTCCTGTTAATAAATTTGTGCGACCTACCTTTTGATTATTTAAACTGGATAATATTTAAAATACATATGGTAGCGATCTGATATCAAAATGAAACAAACAAAAGCAACCATCTTTAATTGAATTATATGGATTTGAAAAATCTGTTTACTATGTTCTAATAAACGTAAATCAGTACCGTTTATAAGTCGAAGTTTGTGCCAGTCGTGAAGACTGTTGAATCTATTCTGTCCAGTAATACACCGAATAGAAAAATAAAGAATAGTTATTTTTGTTTTTGTCCATAAATATGATAAAGGATAGAACAAAAAAAAAAAGACAGAATGTCCACGAACCTAGTTAGATTATTGATGTGGCGGCCAAACTTCCGTCTCAAGATGGTGGAATCACATGCAAAGTTACATCATATTTAATTCGCGTACTAACGATTGATCAAAAAAAATAGTATCATATTTCCCTTCAAATTTTACTTCACATTCAATATTAGTTATAGAAGTTATCAATCAGGACGGTTCTCGACCTCCCAACGCCTTTTTTCCTTTTATTCATGAATACCTGTAATTTTAATTTTTCATATGCCATTTTGACTTTAAATTTTTTCCAAAAGTGGATATCACAAGGAAATTCTATTACGTAATACAAGTATGGTGATATAAATATATAGTTCACGCGTAAAAATAAAAACGATATAAAAGTTAACAAAAAAGATATTTTTTAAAAAAAGATTTATGAGAAAATTTGAACTTTGAATTATACTTACTATATTTGGACTTTGTTAATTAACTGATAAAAAATTGATAATTTTCCTTGTAAATCACATCGACACAATGTCAAACCTCTCAATAAATCCAGATATAAATCCTTTGCATCCTTTATCACTCAGAAAACCTTTTCGTTCGTCAACAGGAATTTCCAAAAATAATTTTTTAAAACTTCTACCAACCTCACGCACTACATCCTATTCGTCTCCATCTAATTCTTCAAATGCAACGAATGAATATGATGATGGGAATGATTATAACGATGAACTCATTTCTTATCACAAACACTGCTCGTTACCAGTACTTCCTGGAGAAACACTACGTAATGACGATGGTTATGACGAGATACATTCCGAGCAAGAATCAGGAACAGGATATCGAAAGGATAAATTTTTCCTACGATTAAAATCATCCATTAAAAAATATTTAGGGGTGAGAAAGGAGCGAAAACGACATCAAGAAGCTCATCATCAAGATGGTAAAACAAATCCATTCGAGTAATGTTGTTGATTTTGCTGCGGTTGATATGGTTATATGAAAGTCTTCGTTGTCGGGTTTAAGTAAAAAAAAAAGTTTACATAACATTACCTCTTTTTTTTTAATAAAAATAATGTCCTCTTCTCATAGATTTCCTTTCAGAAATTCTCGATTACCTTGAGAATAATTTTAATTTATTATGTTCTTACCTTCTAGTAAGTCAGTTTTGGTCGTACCTATCTTGTGGAGAAATCCATTTTAAGAATTAAAAATCGAAAATCATCGAAAATATTTTATCAAACTTTACAACGCTATAATACATTCTTGTTTACCTGAAGGTTCCAAAGAAATAATCTCTGAAAATAAAAATAAAAATTCCCTCAAATGTTATAATTTATGAAAGAAAATTATAACCTGTATAGTATATCAATTTATTTCCTGAATTGAATGATTATGGAATAAATTTTAATTTTTGAAATTATTTTTTGCCAAGGATCTATTATTATTTAAAGAGTTCATCCTTTCCGTTGAAGAATTTAATGTTCACTTGACAAAGTTTTCCGGGGCGCATACATTCAGCAAGTGATGATGCTTCTTCGGATATATATATTATGAGATGTCGCAGATAACGTCCGAATCCTTTGATTATGAAAATTCGGGGCTGGTAAACTTTATTAAGGCTCAACAATGATTAAAGAGCATTAACTTTCAATCAATTTTCTTTAAAAATGTCAAAAGGAGTTAACATCAGTCATATAAATACAATCGTAGAAATTAATATTGACCATTTCATGACTGAGATGAAACCCTCTCAAAATTATTAATTTAAGGAAATTGACAGTGAGAAGCGAAATATGGAAGGTTTGCTATTAAATTACGTTACGGACGGATCATATGATTTATTTTTTAAGCAATTGTTATGAGTGAATTGTCCAAATCTTAAAATATGTAAATGATGTCCAATCTTTAAGCAATTTATTATTTAATTGTACTCGGATTGAAGGAATCATCTTTGCTCATATAAGGACCTTACCTTTAAATTCTCACTTATTTCAATTACAAATTCCAATTTATTGGGTTTAAGGTTATATTTTTATCATAAACAGACGAAATGATGTGAAACTTTTGATTTTAAAATTAATTAAACTAATTTTTCAATAGATTTAGAAATCAAATACAGCTAAACAAATTTGTTAAACCATAGTGATAATATTAAAATTTTTGAAGATATAATTATGAAATCAATCCTTTTGCATGTTCTAACCATTATTAACTATGCATCTAATCTAGTGCTTACATATTCTCTCACTTTTTTTTATATTTAAAATTTAACAAGTAGCTCAAGGATCTTCACATTCATTTAACTAACGTTTTTTGTAAAGGTATCATAATAAACTAACTTCTACTTATTACCTATCCCAAATCCCATTCCTTAAACCAAAACTTTAATAAACAATATTGTCACAATTAAATGATTATAATATAATGATATTTATTTATTATATTTGACTTGATAAGAAGATTCAAATGTTTATTATTTTGTTTTTATAAGTAGAATATTTATTAAAATATATTTAAAAATATATTATAAATTAAATGGAATTTAGAATTTGGGATTGGATTGAGATAATTGGAAATTGTATTTTAAATATAGTATGAAATTTTTGAGAAGATGGATTCTTTTTTTTTTTACGTGTGGTAGCTTTGCACAATCTTTATTTAGAAGTAAAGTAAAATTTTACAAAATTACAAGTTACAAGATAAAGAGTACAAAAATTCCTATTTAGCAGTAAAACCAAATTAAAATCAACCTTGCATCATTCTAGACTAACCTACCCAAATAGACTTAAAATAGGTTCAACTATCCAGTACAGGAAACGTGGTTGCTATTGATCTAAAAATTCAACCAGTTCGTACCAAATCTAAAGGAGGAAATAAAATATGAAGGAATACTAAAATTGTGTAGTGATGATGAAGGAAAGTCAGTATTAGTGAAGTGTAATTTTTAATCATTAAGTGAAATGTTGTTGATGTCTTCAAAAGTTTTAATATCTTTGTAACGATTAAACCAAATGGATTTTATTTGGAAAAATGCATAATGGTAAATGAAGGAAAGGAGACCGTTTGTTAATTGAAGGTTATTGATAAGGTAGTGTATTTTGTTAAATAAGAAAAGGTGTACAATTCCTTTTATCAGATCAATAAAGTTAAAAGAGTCAAGGTGATCATTTAGAGACCATATGGTCAAATCTATAAGGTCCATTAAATCCTGAGTATCTAAAGTCAATGTAATGAGATGTTATATGAAAAATCTTTTAGTTGATGCTATAATATCAATAAATTGTTGTTCAATTTTGGCACACGTCTAGACGTAATTAAAAGTTTCATAAGTACATGAACATCTAGGATAATTTCATGATTAATCATATAGATTTAGGTGTCTTATTTTGAGGATTTCTAGGGTAGGGAGCAGTTCAAACATGAGCTTGATTTTAAATTTGCGAATAAAAGAGGCTTTGAAGGATGTATAAGAGATGTTTTTATTATTGTTAAGAATGAAAGAGATTCGAATCTAATCTACATCACTTGTTTCGTATTTTTTAAGTGTAAAAGTAATTATATATTATGAAAGTCGATTGATCTGAGAAGATTCTTCACGAACAATCTAGGTAAAATAAGTACAATATTCTAATTAAAATATATATTATAATGGTGTCCTAGAATTTTGTAGTTTAGTTTAATTGAGAAACCATCAGCTTTTGCTAATGCATTAATTACATTATTATAATGATCATTTAAATGAGCTTTGACTTTGTGAAGTTCAATGAAAATGGATTTTCTCTGATTAACTTTATGACAAGAAACCAAATTGGATAAAAGGAGATTTTAAAAATAGGGTTAAAGGTAGGAGAGAAGATATAGAATTAGTTCATTTTATCAAAAGATAAAATGATATTTTATGAGTCTGTGAAAATATTAACTGCAACATTTGTAGGAGCTACATATAAAGCAGATAGTACCGCTACTAATTCTGCTAGAGAAGATGAAGATTGAAGAAGATGAGTATAACATTAAAAGAAAGTAAAGGTGCTGTAAGATCTGATTGCAACTAGGTTATGCTCATATAGATTGAAGAAGTACCTAAGTTGATAAAGGAACCATCAGTGTAAAATGAGAGGTTAATTAATTGTATGAAGTGACTTCTAAGGATATCTAAAATACTAAGGATTTCTATATTAAAAATTTTATTAAGTGTATAAGGTGGAGAGGACAAGGTGGGGAGATATTAAATATACTATTATCAGTTAAATTGTAACTATATAAGGTAATTACATAAAGCATGTAAGGGGACAAAGAACAGATATGACCAATAGTTGGAAGAAGAGAAGTCTTGATGTCAACACATAGGTATAAAGGTAACATCATAAAGTAAGCTTTATGTTTGTTTCTCATATTATAAAGAATAAAGGAAGAATCATCATTAAGAGAGCATTTATTGCATGGTAACAATGAAGTTTTGAAAGTATGATCTGGCGATGCATTAAAATATTGTAAGTGAACTTGAGAAGATGAATTCTATATAGTATGAGGCATGATAAACTATAGTTTAGCAAGTATTAATATTAACTTTTAATAAGCTAGTTTATGTATTTTTTTTAATATTACTATTCTGCATTTGTTTTTTATTAATTCTTATAATTTTAAATATGATTAATTAATACAAATTCTAAAATTAAATAAAATATTTAATAAGAAAATAAAGAATGAGTTTGTAATATATTCTTTATTTTAATATGATTTTAAATCTTAAAAGATTAAATAATAATTAATAAAATATATAAATTATTTATATTACATTAAATATCAATATTTTACTATTAAAAATCCTTGAATAAATAGCAAAGGCTTTAATAAAATTCATTTATAATATTAATTTTATGATATAATATTTATTTAATTAGTATTAATACATAAAAATATATTTTTTTATTAAGAATATATTATATAATAAATAATTATACATTATTTATATTTTAAAAATATATAAAATAGTATTACTTTATATTTAAAATATATAAAAATAAAACATATTTTTTTAAAATTAAATAAAAAATATAAATAAATTTTATTATTAATAATCACTAATTAAAATCAAAAAAATCAGTAAAATATAAGTATTCATTATATTCTAACCAATTAGAAATAAGTAAAATTTTATTAAGAATTAAATAAATAATTAATTAATAGGCTAATTATTTCTGATTTTAAATAAAATTTTACTATTTTATTTAACCAAAATATAAATGATTTATCTTTTACTATTTATATTATAAATTTATTTTAAGATAATTTATAACTTATTTTATACAAATATAAAAAAATCTAAAATTATATATAAATTTTTTTTTTTTTTTGATAGGTTTATAAAAATTATGAATTATTAAATTAAATTATAATATTATTATTTAAAAAATAAATTAAAAAATAATTTACTTATAGATTTTGATAAAAAAAAGAAAATATTTATAATAATATATATAATATTTTTAGGATAAAGTTAATTGTAACAACCTGTTATATGAATTACATGTAACAACCTCAGAAATTAGATCGGAAATTAAGTCAGAAAGTAGGTCAGAAAATGAATTGAAAAGTGAGTCAAAAATAGGTTAAAAATTAAGATTAGCATATATCAAAATAAACTATATTTATTATATATATTACTGTGCCATTGCATACAAAACTGATTAATTCATTTATTTAGAAATAAAAAAATCACATCGCTTGTAAAAAAAAAACTTGTTACAATCAATAAATTATATTGAACCTATACTATAACTCTTATAAAATTGTCCAACCTCCTCAATTTATTGATGATTTCTGCTATTATATCAATTAAAATAAATTAAAATAAAGAGATAAAGGAAAGGAACAGATAAATAAAGGCAAAAATAAAAAAAATAAAAATAAAGAGTTAATAAATTAATACCTATCGATTCTGATACCTTGCACTATTATGTCCTGATTGACCGCATATATCACAAGTGTATTTTGCATGTGGTTTCTTTTTAGTTGATGATTTATATCGCTTTATTTCTGAATGTCCTTTGCGTCGTGATACTAATGGATTTTTAATTTGTTCAGATTCATTTTTCTTATTAGTATTATCACGATTTTGTATTGATCCAGTATGTGTAATTATCATTTCTTTGTGCTGATTAATAAATTGTTTTAGCCATTCGATCATTTCACCATGACTATCATGATTAACAGCAAATTGAATTGCTTGCCATGCAAGTCCCCACACTTCCCCATATTTGAATTTCTTTTTTGCTGCGTGACGTAAAATAGTGGTAACAGTTGTAAGAACGGTTAAAGGATTTAGAGTAAGTATTATACCTAAAAAATTTTGCGTAGCTTCCTGATTTATAAAACAACAAGTCTCCGCAGTTGTATTCTTATTCTTTTAATCATCAATATACCATCGCAAAGGTATCATTTGAATTTGAAATCCTGCGACAGATGAAACCATCATTACTCAGAAATAGTGGCGACAAACAATACCACAAGATATATTCAACATGCATGAACAAAGATATGAAATAGAATCAACTATTATCACAAAATATACGTATTTTTTATTATTAGGTAATATATCTGTAATCTTCTATATTTTGCAAATGTTATCTTTACCAACTTCAGCAATCATTGATTTTAATAAAATTTGCTTAGAATCGTACAGATCTTTGATAAATCCGTCTGTTACATTAACATCCAGATCCTATATAGTAAAAGTATTAAATGTTAGACTTTGTTAATAATTTCAACCCTAAAAATAGAATAGAATACAAATTACCTCAACTATGTCTGGTTCCACTTTACTTGAAATAAAGTAAAGGCATTGTGCTATCTCCAAACGTTTAGCAGATAAGATATGAGGTGTCAAGTATTTAAACATTACTTTATCAATTTCAGAAAAAAGATAATTGCCAACCGATGTGATTCGCATATAGGTTGATAGAGTACGATATTCAAAAAAATAGTTCTATTGCCCTTCATTCTCAAGCCGTTTATCAAGGATACTGGCAAGATCACACAAGATACTGTTTGCTTTTAATTCACGTTTGATAATATTATTGAGACCCTCAATATGGGAGGTAGTTTGTACTCCCACAGTAAATATCTTTGATGTAAATACACAGGCCCATGCTTGTCGGCTAGGGTAAAGAACTCTCATTAAGTAATCTTCCGTGTTGGGATATTTTTCGATAAGACTCAACCACTTTTTATAAAAAATTTCTTCACTCACACTGTTACGACAAATAAAAAAATCATGAACAAACTTATCATATTGATCACAAAGTTTGGATTTGAGGTTTTTTGGTAAGTTTTCGCTAATATGAAAAATACAATGGACTGGGTAAGTTGTCAAATATATTTGTTTGATTGCTACATCTGCAGCAGGATCCGCATCAGTAACGAATACTAATAGTTCAGTTATTGTTACTTTTATTGTACATTCTAGGATCCATTTATAGGACTCAGCAGTTTCATCAAACACAAGAGCTTATGTAACGAGATGAGACTTGGTATTATTATCAATGGCAAGGAAAAGTGAAAGTGGCATTTGGTAACGATTGGTCTTAGCGGTATTGTCATTCAAAATAACATCATGATATTCCAACCAAAGGTAACCTGAGTTGGAGATATCCAAAAAAGTCAGATAAGTCTATTTTCTTCATCAAGTTGAAACTTGATAAACCATTCAGGATCATTTGATTTATGTTGAATAAGTGTTCTTAGTAAACAAGATGCATCCTATGTTACATCCGCTTTAATCTTATATTTTTATATTGCATTAGCGAGATCACAATTAAAAATAAATAGAGCTGGGAACTTTGCTTTTAATAATCTCCGTTGAACAGTAATTGATAGGTTTTCATATTCTGTAAGAAATTGGATTTCTTTGAGAACGTCATCATCAAAGGCGTTCTGATATTTTGATGAATACTCTTCAGTATCAGGAAGTAACGTATGGTTATGCGAATTGTTAAAAGAGGTAAGGACTATATTTTGAGAATTTTTAAGACAATTGAAATTTGCATTCCATACACATTGTTGGCGTTTTGATTTACGGTCTCGATGTTTATTAATATCGATTAGTTTTTTTGGTTGATAACGGCTGCCAAATTCACATCCAAAACTATGATGCTTAATGCTGCCATCTTCATGGTGGGCTAATCATTTCTTTATAATCGTAAATCCATGTTTTTTACCATAAGTCTCCATAATAGTATCGATACTTTTCCATGATCTAAAGACACAGCCGATACAAAGGTTTATATCTAATTAAGGTAAAGTGATATGTCAGTATGCAAGTAAATTGACTAATAAATAGATGCAAAATAAAAAGTTAATATACCACCTTTATCTTCTGAATTCAGGGATGCTATATTGTTCGATTTATCTTGCGAGTTCAGAGGTGTTATATTATTCGACTTGACCTGCGGATCCAGAGGTGTTATGTTGTTAGACTTGACCTGCTCTATATTAGAAAACCAATCAGATATCTTACATAACTTACATGAATCGATTTTTTACTTTCGGATAGATAAAGTATTTACATACCATAATTACAAAGCATCATGAAGGAAGTATCACTTTGAACGGATTTTTGGGTATGCAACTCATATATATTTATCTCAATAATAATAATCTTGTTTTTTGTAGGTAAAAATTACTGCAACACAAAAAAAAGCAGAGCGAGAAAGTGGAGTTGATGACTATTATACAAAAAAATTAATCGCAACGCAAAAAAAAGCAAAGCAAGAAAGCTTTATTGGGGGTTGAATGATTATTATGCAAAAAAAATGACCGCAATTTAAAAGAAAAGTTAGTATTTATTTATTTATTGAAAATTTAGATTAGTATTTATATTAAAAATTCTAAATGATCATTGTATGATAATATAATTATATTATACTATTATAATTACATTTTTCAATAAAATAATATCTAAAGTATGAGATCTTCGTAATAAGAAAGGGGAAATAGTTTGAAAAAAATAAATAATAAATTAATATTAATTCTAAATATATTTTGACTTAAAAATCATTTTTAGTATATAAATATAAAATTGATTTTTTTGACAGTTTCTCTCATTTTTAGTATAGAGATTCATATATTTTATAAGATATTAAGTTAGATTTAAACTCTATTAAAAATATATAGGATTTGGTGACAAAAAAATTATCTAAAATATTTTTTTAATATAATTTAATAGGAATAAATAATTTTGATTACGCTATATTACTTCAATATATTAATTATATATTGAATTAGATTTAAGTATATATTAATACAGAGAAAATATATAAAGTATTAATTAATTAATGTAAAATAATACATTAATATTAGTTTTAAATAAAAATATGGAAAAAGTTATTTGTAACAACCTGTTGCACGTTTTATTTGTAACAACCTCGGATTTATCACGTGACGTTATACAAATTTCCAAAAAAGGAGATTTTATTTCTTACAAAATTGTTGGTTAAGGCCGCAAAATATGTTACACCAATTTCCTTTTTGGAAATTAGTGTAACGTTACGTGATAAATCACTGCGCGCGCATCACAAGTTTCGTATAACGCAAAACTGTTTGCGTCATAATAGATCATAACTGCATCACGTCATGAAGATTTTGTATCACATTTGTGTTATATCACACATGATTCAAAATCACAAGTGTTATAAAAAATTGTGTTACATTTTTTAAAGCTTTTTTTTTCTCTTTGGAAGTTTCGTAGAAAGATACTTACTCTAAAATTTAGTAGACGGTACAGTAGCTAAAGAAAAAATTAAAGCAGTTAATAAGTTTGCACAAGAGCTACTAAATATTGTAACGAATAGAATTGCAGTAATC